ACCGGCAACAGCAAACAACCCAACAAAAAACCCGACAAACCCCACAACAAACCCAAGGACCAACTAAAAAATTCACCCAACAACAAACCCAACAACAACCAACCCAACAATCAACCCAACAACAACCACAACATACCCAACAACCAACTCGACATCAAACCCAACAACCAACCCTACAACAACAAGCCCAAAAACAAACCCAACAACAAACCTCACAACCAACCCAACAACAACAAACAAACCAACAAAAAACCCCACAACAAACCCAAGGACCAACCAAACAATTCACCCAACAACAACAAACCCAACAACAACAACCAACCCAACCAACTCAACAAACCACCCAACAACCTATCCAACAACAACAACCCACCAAACAACTACCAACCCAACTATCAACTAAACCACTATTGATATCAGTAGATTCAAAGTTATTAAATAAAGCATCACCACCCACAATACCACAACAACCAAATAATGCATCACCACCAACATCATCTTCATATAGATCTGCTTTAAAACCATTTAATATTTTAAAGTATTCCAAAAACGCTATCGAAGAAACCCTATATAGACAATCAGATAATGAAAATCAATCTAAAAAATTATTACAGGATCAAGAAACTCAACAATATATTGATTTATTGACTATTGGTTTTAAAAAGTTATTTGAAATAAATAATGGAGAAACAAATCAAAAAGACGGGGCTTCTATTATTAGTGATTTTTCACAAGAAGATTTTAATAAAGAAACCAATATTAAAATCCCAATTGATTCAGGTGAAGATTTAGATGATGAACAAATTATAAATCAATTCCATCTTTTAGAATCAGAATCCACATCTGAATGTTCATCATCATCAACAGTAACAACAATAGCAAGAACAACAGATTCATTAAATACAACTATAACCTCACCAACAGTCGCATCAAACACAGAGCTATCATCTACAGCATCATCAACATCCTCATTTTCAGATAAATGGCAGTTTACAATATTCTCCCCAAAGGTTTTTAAGGCAATAAGAAAATATTATAATGTCGACAACGATTTCCTTAGAACCAAATCATCAAAAGGCAGCCCAGATATATCTGATATTGTAAAGTTTTTAGAGGTTCAAACTGTGGGTAGAAGTGGTAGCTTTTTCTATAAATCAGAGGACTCTAAATACTTTTTAAAAACAATTCCATCAGGCGAGTATGAAACATTCACTAAATTATTTCCATCATACTATCAACACATTATGAAGTATCCAAATTCTTTGCTTCCAAGATTTTTGGGAGTATATCGTTTAAAGGGTAAATTAAAATTAAGTGGTGCTTCCTATTATAATAGTTCCCATAGAGATATCATATTTGTTGTAATGGTCAATCTTTTCTATTCTGAACAAAAGTTGGATATTAAAGAAAAATATGATTTAAAAGGTTCAACAATTGGTAGATATGTTGATGTTAATAAAATTCAGCAAAAATTAGCCAAGGAGCAACAACAGTATCACCAAAACAGTACAGATAGTTTGAATACAAGTAATAGTAGTAATCAAATAAATGGTGTAGAAAATAGTATTAATATTCAAACTCAGGATTTAACATTCAAGGATTTAAATTTAAAAAGAAAGATTCATTTAGGTAATTTAAAAAAAGTATTTATACAACAATTATCAATCGACTCTGAATGGATGTGCAGCCATGGTATATGTGATTATAGTTTATTAGTTGGTTTACATATTAGTGATAACAAATCAATTCAAACTCTTAAAGAATCTCAAGGTCCAAAGTTACTTGAGAAAAAGGATATATCCTATTTCAAAAAGGATTTTAATGGTATTATAGAAAGAATTCAAACCCCTCAACAACCAACATCATTATCAACTTCAAATATAATAAATAGATCGAATACAGAAGAAAGTGATGGAGGTATAGTTTATTATTTAGGTTTAATTGATATCCTAACAACTTATAATTTAAAAAAGCGTGGTGAAAATGCTTTAAAAGGAATTTTCTTTGATAGAGTAAGTTTATAATTAAATTTAATATTTTTTTTAATAAGGTATCTCAATACTAATATAATTTTTTATTTTTTTTTCTTTTTTAGACTAAAATATCAGCAGTTAACCCAAAAGATTACCAAAGTAGATTTATAAAATATATTGAATCAATATTTGATTAATATAAAAGTATTTTTTGTTCCTTATATATAAAAAATAAAATAAAGATAAAAATAAAAATAAATTAAGTTATATTTTTAGAAATTAAAAAAAAAAAAAAAATATATATTTTTCTTTTTTTATTTTGTTATTTTTTTATTATGCACATAAAGAGTAAAGAGAAAAAAAAAATAGAGAAATTAATTTCATATAGTAATTTTGGGTGGATGTGTGTTAATTTGTGTGCGAATGTGTATATATTTTTCTTTTTTTATTTTTAGAAATTAAAAAAAAAAAAAAAAAAATCATTATTTCTTTCCAAACACTCGCACAAAAACACAAATACAAATAAAAAAATAATTTAAAATCGAATACAAATAATTTATGAAATTTTAAATTACTTTATTGAATATTATTTATTATTTAAATAAACTTTAGTTTGTTCTAAAAAATTCTCTATTATATTTATAATTTTATTATAATTTATTGATGAATTATCTTTGGTATATATTTCATAAAATTCCATATTTAAAAACTCTGAATGGTCTTCTTTTAATGCTGAAATTAGACTAAATTGACCGTTACAACTTGATGGTAGTGGCGATGAGTTTATTGAAATAAATATTTTAGGAATAGATATAATATCTAAAGAGGTATTAATTTCTATTTCTTTAAGCCAATGATGTATAGTATTTAAATCATCGTCACATCTATTGTTACTATTTTCGTGAACTATAATCCATTTCCCATTTTATAATAATTTGTTGTTAAAGCTCTTCTATTTTCGTAATCTTTGGGTATTTCGAATAATAATACTTTTATCTATGAGTTGTCTCTCAAAGTAATTGAGGTAATCTTAAGCAATACTGTTCGGATAAAGTTGGATTTGAATATTTGTGATGATTTGATAAAAACAAAAGTGCATCAATAATTTCTTGACCATCAATTTTTTCTTGATCGCAATAGAAAAGATTTTTTTTGTAGTAGTATGCTGCTTTTTCGTTCATAGCATTTGATAGCTTCCGGTATTCTCTCTATGAATTCGTAACAGCCACCAGCAGCACACCACATTCTGAGATCGTATGGTCTTAGTGTAGTTGCCTTCTTAAAGTAATAAAGAGTAGAGTGGTAGTTTTAATAGTTGATAAGTTTGACCTAGACCATACCAAGCTCTGTAGTCTCTTGGATTAATATCGACCGCTTTTCTATAGGCATTGATGGCGGCTGATACATTCTTGATTTCTAAAAACTCGTGCCCAATAAGGGTCCATGCTGAAAGATAACGATCATTCAACTTCAATGCCCTCTGAAAGTACATAATCGCCTTGTCGTGCTCCAACTTTAAACTGTAATAGTTACCAATGATGCAACATGTCTCTGGACAATACTTTTCGATTTTCATAGCCTTGTGTGCCAACATACTGAGACTTGCTTTTTTATCACGAACATATAGAATATTACTGTAGATATCGATATTTTCTAAACGGCTTGGCTCCAGCTCTATTAACCTCTCGAATATCTCATCACCAACATCGTATGCACGTAAATTATAATTTGCAATAGCGGTTTGCGCTAAAATATAGGTTGAATTTGAAAAAGTCTTTACAGTAAACAATTTCTTTTTATATAATATTTTTTAAAAAATTGAAATAATTGTTTAAACTCTTGGCAATCATATTGACCATCATTATTACTTAATAAATTACTATTATTATTATTGTTTGTACTGTTTTTATTATCTGGGTTTGTTGGATCTTGCCCCTGTGCTTGTTGTTGTGCCTGTTGCTGTGCCTGTTGCTGTTGTTTTTGATTTTGTTGTTCTATTATATCCTCCTCTTTTCTTTTTTCTAGTGCTAAAAATAAGGAATAGGATCTAAGAAATATTGGCAGAGATATTTTAAAATTGAAGGTAAATGTTGTGGAGGTGTTGTTATTTTTATTAAATGGTGATGGTGGTGATTTTAAATTATTTGATGATGATTTTTTTTAAAATAATGAGTTCCAAATTGATGATGAGCTATTTTTTGAATTTAATGTTGTGTTTGGTTTAATACTACCACCAATGTTGTCATTTGTTTGAATTAAGATGTCTATTGATCATTTCTACCTGGTTTATTGGAACTCTTCAAACGGTCAGAGTTTAGCATTACTATCTTGATATTCGTCCTAAACAAATTCCAAATCAATAACCTATTTACATTTATTTTCGATATTTCTTAAAAGTGATTCCTTGAGGGTACTAAATTTAAGTTGAAGATTTGTTTGTTTTTTTAAAAGATTTAACTTTTCCTCCATTCTCCTCTTCGATATTTTCAATTTTAATTGAGTATTTTCATTTCTAACTGTTTACAAATGAACCTTTTGAGTCAGAAATCTCTAATTTTCTAAGTTGTTCAACCTGTATCATCATTTCAGTTGGAAGCTCGTCATCGAGATTTCTTGGATCTACTGCTATTTCTTTGACTTTCTATTAACTGTTTGGTTTTTAAATCTTTTTCCATTGCTAAATTCTCTTTTGCAATTCTATACTATCATATTCATGTTCAGTCTCTTTGATTCTATCACCATTGATTTCTTCTGAAGTATTCAATGAGATGATTGGTAACTATTAGCACCTGCATTAGATTTCGATGAATTTGACGCTACCCTTTTAATGGATTTATTTTTTCTGCCTTCTCTTCGAATTCATCAGCTTGCTTTGAAACCAATCCTTCCCCTCTATCAGTACGAGAACTCAGTGAAACTTCTGATATGCCAACTGAAGTATCATGACCAATGTTGAAAAATTGTATTATTTGATCATCTACTTTGTATTTCTTGGTATGTACATTAATATATAGAGTCAGGCTACAGTGAAAATGGTGAACCATATGGTATTGTTGTATTATTCACAAATTATCCACACAAATACTCTTGTCACATTCATTGGAAGTTCAATGGTGCCGTTTGGAGAAGCAATGTTGATTTTGGTAACTGGATCAAAGAATTAATTGAATTGAAAAATGTTTACACAAAGAACCGTAACTTTAGACTACACGGCAATACAAAATACGGTAAAAATTCAAATCTTTATTTGGATGAAGGATGCTATGACACTGATGATGAAATAAGAGACCACTATATCCCATTGGAACACTTGAAAATGGATAATAAAAATATTTTTCTTGCATCTTTGATAACCAACATACCAATTGTCCATTGTGATTCAAAGGTATTATCGTATGAGTGTATTGTCCAACAGAAGCAACAAACATCGTCCTCACCACAACCAGTGGCAACACAGGAAATATCAGTGTCATTGGGCGATAAAACTATACCATCTGATCATTACGAAGGAATTACATCGATACTTGATGAAGTTGGAAATAAAGAATTTGGAAAGAAGGTAATTTGACGAAGAAGCTTTTTTAAAAAAAAAAAAAAAATTTAATTTAAAAAAAATAAATCAAAAAAATAACCTCAAAAAAAAAAAAATTTTAATTAAATTTTTTTTTTTAATAATTTTAATATTATTATTCATTGTAACATCAATGTTATTATTTCTAATCCCTAAATAACAATTAACAAAAAATACAACTTTACATTATATTGTATGATATCTTTTTAAAACATTATCTAAGGAATTTCCTGTTTAAATTTATATCTTAAAATATTGCTTGTCGAAAATCTTTTAATTTTAGAAAATACATTTTGAATTTTATTTTGTTGTTTAATATCTTATTTTTACCACCTACTTCAATAACACAATATCATTTTACAAACACCTGAAGGAAAGCCAATCTGCAATACCTTTCCACTTTTTGGACAACAATAAACCAATAAGGTTAAAGCTGATTTACTTTATTTACAACTATAAAATAAATTTCTAATATCTTTATTAATTGGCATGCTAATTTGTTATTTCAAACCATAAACTACCATTAAAAAACATCAAAATAAAAAACAACAAGATATAATTCAAAAATCAATCAGGATAATTGTCAGAAAAGTATTTGCTTGAATTAAAAGATTTTCAATGACAAGCAATACTTTAAGATATAAAGTAAACAATCATACTGGGCAACTTAAAAGGAAAAGAGAAAAAATTTATTTGATGGCGTTTAAATTTATATCACAAAATAGATCCTATTGTTCTTTTTGATAATTTAAAAATATTTTATTTTTCTTAAATTAAATTTAATAAAACTGTTAAATTAATAAGGAATTTTCATATAGATAATATGAATCAATGGTATGTACATTTGTAGTTTAGTGATTAGAAATAATTAAATAGGTTACAATGAATAATTATATAAAAATTATTGAAAAAAAACTGTAGATACCCAAGAATTTTAAGACATTGGATCACCTTTGGCAAAAGATATTTTTAAAAGTTATTTTAATAATAGACTTGATAATAGGAATAAAATAGAATTCATATACCATTAAAATCATATGAGTGCAACCACAGTGGTCGTAGATGGCTCGGAAAAACAAATTAGTATACCAATTGATAATGACAAGCAATTCTTTAAGATATAATTCTAAACATTAAGGAACTTTTTATTTTGAAATATTATCAAAATATTATGATATGGTGTATAGGTGCATTTTTAATTATTTGTTATTCCAGAAATTAGAAATAATAACATCGAGGACAATGAATTATTAAATAGTTAAAAAAAAAAAAATTAAAAAAATTAAAAAAACCCAAAAACCAAAAAATTTATATGTAAAAAAAAAAAAAAAAATTTTCAGTTTTTTTTTTTTTTTTTAGTTTTTTTTTTTTGAGTTTTGGAGGAATTCATTAAAAAAAGCTGTTTTTTTTAAAATTAATCATCCACATTAATACATATATATAATATGGAAGATTATATATTAAATAGTTTAATAATTGACGGGGAGAGACGCTGGAAGAGTACTTTTTATATTGATTTAGAGCAACCATATTTTAAAATAGGTTATGATTTTTTTTATTATTTCAATGAATGTTTGGTCAACCCAAGCATAAGAGGCGATATAAGTTTCCGAATAAATGTGATAAGAGAGGGTTTTTTGGGGGAAATGTATTTGATACACGACGTTGTAATGAAATTTGCCAAACTTCAGAGAGCAAACAAAAGAATAAAAGCCCACGAGCATGTGACGACGTACTATAGTCCCATTGTGAAAGGGGCATACTTCATCGATGTGGAAGAGTTTGGGGATAAAATACCACTATTAATACCTCTCACAACATGGGATATGTTAATATGTATAAAGACACTTTACAATGAGGAAATACCCATCACAGAGATTTTAGAAGAAAAAAAAATATATTGGCCCAATTATAAATATGATGCACCAGTTATTTGTACATATCTTTTCCCAGAAAAGGAATGGTTGGTTGATGATGAAAAATCATATTATAAAGTACGAGGCCCCGACCGGATGTCCGTGGAATATTTAATTTCTAAATAAAAATTAAATAAAAAAATTTAAAAATGGTAATCTCAATAAAAACTTTTTTTTATTCACTATTTTCTTTTTTATTTTCTTTGGTAGTGTATTTATATAACAATAATAATAGTTTATTTGTTTCAAATTTATTTAAAAATATTTTATTTGAAACGCTCGAAGATACGCTAACAGATAATAGTAATAACAAATTAATTTTGAAAAACAATATTCAAGTACAGCGATAAAGGTAATAGATGAAAAAGAGATTGCCAGGTTAATGGCAATTACACAAGGAACACCAGAGTACTTTAGTGAAAGAAAGAAATCCCCCGCGTGTGGCAGTGATTTAGCAGCAATGATTGGTGTTAACCCCTATAAAACCCCATTGCAAGAAAGAGAAGATAGCAGTATTTTGGTAATTTAGCAATCCAAATTTCATGAAATTTATATCCAACTAGACTCGAAACTAAAATTGAACCTTGTAACCTCGCCAACAGGTCTTAAATAATATATTAATTAAACTACATATATATAAATGTGAAAATAATTAATTTTTTATTTTACAATTTTATTATATTGTGTTGTAAAAATAATAATAAAAAAAAAAAAATTAATGGTGAAAATATTAAAAATAATTAATATTTAAGTATTATAGTAATATTTTTTAATTTCATTTATTTTAATAATAATTGTTTTAATATAATTACTTTTTTATTTAAAATTATTTAAAAAGATATTATTCAATAATGGTGCAATACCAAATTTTTTATTTTTTCAAAGGTCGCAAAGTTTTTTTTTCGAAATCAAAAACTTTTTTTAAAATTAGATTTTTATTTTATTTTTTTATATTTTATTTTATTTTTTTTATTTTATTTTTATAAAAATTTTCCCTAAATTTTTTTTTAATCATTATAAATAATCGAATATAATAAATAATATGTTTTTTTTAAAACATATATTATTTTTAATATTAATAGTATTGGTTAACTCCCAATACTTTCCACTAGATCCCAATGGTTCCTGCCAAACCTATATAGGAGATTTACAAAATCAACTCTGCAATGGTTTTTTAGTAAACCCCAGTAAGTATTTTTCATAGCACATAAAAATAATTTAATAAAAAAAAAAACTAATTTGCATTTATACAATTTAGATAGTGTTTACATCAACTCGACCTCAACTCAAGAAGAAATACGTAACTTTGGATATTTAGTTCGTCTTGCTATTAATATTAGACCTGTTGAATCATGCAAAAACTCGTCCGATACTTATAAATTTTTATGTTCATATGTATGTATTAAAAAAAAAAATTAAAACAAAAAACAATATTATTAATACTTTCAATTTTATAGCTTTTTCCAGAATGTGCAGAATATACTGATCCTATTACAAAAAAAACATATGCATACCCACTTTTACCCTGTAATGATAATTGTGTATCAATGACTAAAACGTGTCAAATATCATCTTCAAGAATCAACTGTAATATGAAGGAAACAGTTATTGTAGATGGTACCAATGTCTCTTTTCCTTACTTTCCCAAAAATTCAACATCTTATGGTATAAATGCACCAACATTTTCAGATTCTTGCATTAATACTACTAATATTGTATCACAAAACACCACTATTCAGAAATGCTATCCTCCTTTAGTTTATCATGTTACAAAGGACCAGGTTTATGATGAATCAATCGGTTATATATTTCCATCTCCAAATTCATCATGTGTTGTAAATTGCCCCGCACCACTATACTATCCGAATCAATGGAGAAATTTATTCAAGCTATCTGATGTACTGTCTATTTTATCTTGTATATTAACATTATTTTTGGTAATTACCCTAGGTGTTATTAATCCAAAGTTATCAAGATTTGATAAAATTAATGTTGCACTTTTGACTTCAATTTTTTGCCAATCTTTTTCCGGTGCATTATTAACCTTTAATGGTACAGAGAAAACATTATGTCCTGAACCAGGACGTTTTGCTTCACATATAGACGGTGTTTGTGTTGCATCCGCATTTATCTTACATGGAACCTCACTTTTAGTTGTACAATGGTGGTGTATTATGTCTTTTGAAATTTGGGTAAGTACTTACTTTTAAATTAAACACTAAAAACAAAACTATACTAATAGACCATTTTTTAAAATAAACAATACAGTTTACAATTTTTCAAGTTGGTAGAAAGCAAAAAGATAGATTTATTTATTATTTAATTTCAACTATAATTATAGCTTGGATCCCACCAATCGTTGCTATTTCAAATTCACAATACACAGGAGGTCCTCAAATGCCTTTTTGTTGGATGAATAACTTTAACTATCAAAGATTTTCATTTTGGTTACCTTTAGGTATATTCTTATGCGGTGGTGGAATCTTTTTAATATTATTAATCCGTGAAATTTATATTGTGGGTATAAAAAAAAGTAAAAAAAAAAAAAAAATTGAATGTTTATTAATTTAATTTATGAAATATATAGATTATATCTAGTGCAACTGATTCAAAAAAAAAATCCAGAGTAAAGCTATTAAAGATGGAACTAAAACCAATGATTTCATTGGTTATGTATTTTTCGATTTTATTATATTTATTTATTTACGACCAATGGGTTAATAACCACAAGCATATATACACTGATTCGATTCCAGACTATGGTTTATGTATTGCCCAATCCCAAGATCCATCCAAATGTTTACTAAAGGCACCTGACATTGCTGGATTTGGTTATTTCATATACAGTATAAGAGTATTTGGTATCTACGCATTTTTAATCTATGGTTTATCGTCTAGAACTTTTAAAATTTGGCAAGCTAACTATCTCTTTATTAAAATTGGAAAGAGGATTGAACAATTTACTGGTATTACTACTACTACAATGGGCTCTTCAACTTCAAATGGTAACTCATCTGCCACATCCAATGCAAATTCGAAAGCTGCTTCGGCTATTGAAACTCCTGACGATATTGATGGCCAAGACTCTGTAGAATTAGAATCTGATGAGTAATTGTAATATTACTTTTTTTGTATCAAAAAATAAAAATAAAAAATAAAAATAAAAATAAAAATAAAAATAAAAATAAAAATAAAAATAAAAAAGTTTTTTGTATTGTAATTGTAATATTACTTAAAGGGAAAATACCTTTATTTTAAACATTTTCTTTTTTATTCAAATTTTAAATTAAATTATAATTAAAAATTTAAAAAAAAAATATGAGTAAAATTCTTTTATTATAATTTTAAAATAAATTCTATAAAAATAAAATAAATGGTGATAATTTATTTTTATGATGCTATTAATAAATTTATATTTATGAGGATGTTATGATGGGATCCGATTTTAATCTGAAAACAGTCTGAAAATAATATGTCACAATTTACCTTTTAAAAAAAAATAATAAAAATAAAAAATTAAAAAAAAAAATAAAAAAACTATTTTTCAATTTTTTTGACACATAATCATTATTATATTAAAAAATTGAAACAAAAATCATTTTAAGATATTTGTGATGATGCGACTGATGTTCATCAGTAAAAAAATGGTGAAAACAATATAATTTAAAAAAAAATATAAAAAAAAATAAAAAAAAATAAAAATAAATAAAAATAAATAAAAATAAAAATAAAAATATATAAATAAATATGCTATTTAAAAAAAATAAAACCCAATGGGATTTAAACTTCTTTGGTAAATTATATTATTTATAAATAATTACGTAAACCAAAAAAGAATTTTTTTAAATTTTTAAAAATAATCATGAATCCCTGGTTTTTAGAATTTTCTAATGACAGCAAAAGATGAGAAAAAAATATAAATAATACTGAGAAAAATAAAAATTATGTATGGGTGGTTGTTTTGAGAAAATGATAAAAAAAAAAACCCCAAAGGTTGTGCATAAGCCACCGTTAATATCTATTGGTAATGCTAAAAAAAAAAAAAAAAAAAAATATATAAAAAAATAAATACATAAAATATTATATATTTATTTCCATATTGTTCTTTTTCATTTCATTTTTAATTTATAAAAATTACCATTACTTTTGAATTTGAACACAATTGGTTAAATCCTAATAAATTAAAACCAATGGCACAATAAAAATAATAATCATGATGATGATGATTAAAGAAATCAAAAATAGAATAATAATTTTATTTTTATTATAAAGAGACAAGGCAATTTGTGTGTGTGATATAGCGAAATCAGGAACCCATAACTATTGAGTATTAAAGAAAACCTCCAGCTCTATCGCGCAATGTATATTTTTTTTAATTTTTTTAATAATTATTTTTTAAATTAATTTTTTTTTTTTTTTTTTTTTTTTTATTTATTTTTTTTAGTTTTTTTAATTTTTTTTTTTTTTCAAATAACCTCCCCAACTTTTTCGGTTCCTTTTTGTTATTTTGTTTCTTTATAAAATATTTAAATTTTATATA